CCGCCTCCCCCGCCCGCATTGGCCTGGCGGGCCTCCCGCAGCCGCGGGGCCGGCCTGGCGGGGCGGGAGGCGGCCCCAGGAGTGTTAGATGTGTCTCTATACTACTGTCTACACTACGGCGCTGAAATGGGTGTCTTAAATCCATAGATTTCCCGGTGAAGCAGGGGCCCAGTCTGGTTCTGCTTGGCGCAAATGGAGGGATGCGGGGAGGCTGCAGCCAGGCTGCCACGGCCACGGGAAATGGGGGTTTGTCTCGACTTTGGCTCATCTGTGTGAGGTAAGGTGTCTATGTGGCTGATCTGCTGAAGATTTTTGTGTTAGCAAGGCGTGATTTGGCGCTACAGTGGCGTACCCTGATCTGGCTTTTGCTGGTAAAAAACATGGAACAGGTCATAGAATCATAGAATCATAGAATGGTTCGGGTTGGAAGGGACCTCAAAGATCATTGAGTTCCAACCCCCCTGTCATGGGCAGGGACACCTCCCACTAGAGCAGGTTGCTCAAGGCCCCATCCAGCCTGGCCTTGAACACTGCCAGGGATGGGGCATCCACAACTTCCCTGGGCAACCTGTTCCAGTGCCTCACCACCCTCATAGTAAAAAATTTCTTCCTGAGATCTAATCTGAATCTTTTTTCTTCCAATTTAAAACCGTTTCCCCTTGTCCTATCATTACACCTCCTGGCAAAGAGTCCCTCCCCAGCTCTTCTATAGGCTCCCTTCAGATATTGAAAGGCCGCTATAAGGTCTCCCTGGAGCCTTCTCTTCTCCAGGCTGAACAACCCCAGCTCGCTCAGCTTGTCTTCATATGAGAGGTGCTCCATCCCTCTGATCATCTTCGTGGCCCTCCTCTGGACCAGTTCCAATAGGTCCATGTCCTTTCTGTGTTGAGGACTCCAAAGCTGGACACAGTATTCCAGGTGGGGTCTCAGGAGTGCAGAGTAGAGGGGCAGAATCACCTCCCGTGACCTGCTGGTCATCTGTTCCGCTTCTAAATCTGCAAGTGTTATTACGGAAGTGCCTCGTTTATTGAATACTTTGGAACTGAAAAGGCTTTAGCTTTATCAGATACAGCAGCACAATTTTTTTTTTTAATGGTTTTCTGTGTTTTTTAAAGCAGGAGCACACTTCTTGGCACTTGGTATGGGCCTTTTGTGCAGAAGCTAACCAACAGCATTACATTGACAAGCTACTTTTGCTTCACTGTCTTACTATCACAGTGGGTTTTACTGGCTAGTTATAGGTTGTGACATAAGTAACTCTCATTTCTTACATTAATAGCTAAATTTTGAGATAAATATCAAGAGCACAGAGAAGTCAGGAAACTGTAAAAACAATGAAGGTTTTTTTTTCCTTTTTCTGCTGTATTCACTGCAGTTTGTATGCTGTAGAATGCTGCCTTGTGCGAGTGCTAGCAGCCGGCAGTACTGGCAGGAACAGGAAAGTGCAGGGAAGAGCAAATTTGCAGTGTATGACTACTAACTAAGCGTGTAATTAGAAACTCAGTTCTTCCAACATAAAGACTAGTACTGGACTCAGTATTAAGTATGCACCCAGAGATAAGCAGCCCTTTCATTATGAGTTGCACAGTTTGTCACAACTATCCTTTTAAACTAACTAAAAAAACCTTAATTTTTGCTTAAGTAAATTCTTGTTCACAGCAATGGTAACTCAGCTTCTCAAACTTGGTGTTATATATATATATTTATAACTTGGTCAAAGTCCTACCACTACTATGCCAGGTCAGGCTGTGCTTACCAGGCCGGAAAGAAAACACTAGCCTATAACTTTTGTTCCCATACTGAGCAAACATGTTTTCATGTGCTTAGATCTGACCCATTTTAAAAGCTTCAGCCCTTAAAAATAATCCATGGAAGAAAGTTCCAGTAAGGGAACAATATTGTAGACAAGTGGTAATAGAGAAAGATATGTTAAAATCTAATGGGGGAAAAAAAGCCTGACTCAGTAAAATAACTGCATCCTCAAACCAAACTGTGAATACCTTCATAACTTCCCAAAACTACACAACAGATGCTTGAAGTAGTGCTTGTAGCTGCTGAGGAACTCCAGTGACTGATAGAATTAGTGTTACGATTTGGTACATAAAATTGTAGATATTAAGAATGGTGCAATGCATTGCAAGTAACTGGATATCTCTATACTTACGCTATGCCACCTCAGTGTACACATTAAATTTTGTAATGACATTCAAGGGTCTGTCAGCAGATTAACTTTTTAACATGGATTTTGTAAATTTTTCTAATGTCAAATGGTAGATGGGAGGCAGCACAAGAGAAGGAGGAGGTGAGCTGATGCCACTTCTGATATTTTAACTGCTCTGAACAAAAGTTTTTCATGTAGTAGTAACAATGACCGAAAGCAGAGAAGTGGCCTCTCTGTCAAGATCCTGCTACTGGAAGAAGAAAAGCACACACACACAATGCACGTAGCCTACTCAAAATACACTGCCTTTCAGTACGTACAGTCATACATATTAAATTAATTGTTCATGTAGTGTTATGTAAAAACAGTTCTAAGATACTGTATCTTAACAATATTTAATGTGTTTGCTCTTGATGGTATTTTGATGCTATGCTACTAGCTTAATGTATAAAAGCATGAATATTGTAGTGTTAGTATAGAAACAAGAAAAAGTTCTCTCCGAGAGGTAAAGCACTAAGATAATGAAACATTATACAATCCACAATCAGATAAAATCCTACCTATTATTACAACACAGCATACCTTGTATTACACACAGCATAATAAAGAAATAGTGAAAGGAGAGGGAGCACGAATTCAGTGGGAAACAAGGAATATATATTACCCAGCTAGTTAGACAAAAGGACACCACAATTCAGGAACCTGAGGATAATACGCTCAGAAATAAAAACTAACTCCCTGATGTGGGTAAATGCTATATTTCCCAAACTGAAACAGAACACAAATACTTGATAAATGAAGAAGAAACAAGATTCTTTGTTTCTGAAGCATGTGTCAGCTATTTTTAGTGATAGTCTGAAGTTCAAACCAGAAAACTTCAAGATAGTGATGCCCTTTAGGTAGATAATAGCAAATACTTAACCACACTGCAAGTAACTTTATTGTACATTGTAATATACATTTATAGCATAACTTACCAATAGTCATAATACCTTTTATCTAACTGGTTTTTATTACATTTCCCAAGTTTTGCTTTACATCTAATCAATATACCAAGACAATAACATCACTTATGTTAATATAGCTCACTCGAGGTCAGAAACTGAATGCTCCAGAGGGAAAGAAACAGAATGAGGTAAGCATGCCCGTAACAAAGATAAATTCACATCTCTTCCTGTGAAGATGATCGAAGAACCAGAGTTACCATAAGCAGGTCCATCTTCGGTGATGTAGTTCTTCACCGCTCAACTTAAAACTTCATTTAGTCAATTGAGTTCAATAGAATTACATCGATGGAAAATGTATGTGATGGCTAGATCCACTAAGTGACATAGTGTTACCCTCTCTACCTGTTCGAGTGCCCTGCTCCAGAGTGGGACTTTGAGCTCTGTGGTGGGTTTGGGATGCTTCTACACCAGGCAGAGCATATTTAGGTGCTACAGAAAAAGTTTCATGTCTGGGGATGAGAGAGTGGCTAAAGGAAAGGTCAAGGACAAGATGCCCCTTGCTGGTGATTAAATGCTTAGCTGTGAAAGTCAGAGGAACATCAGCCTCCACTGTCTCCTGTGATTAGGCACCTTTGCATTTTAGGGAGAAAAAAAAAAAAAAAGAACCAAGGTGTCTGTTGGTAAAGATGCGATACTCCACACCTGTACCTGTTTGGAAAGCTTGTGTAGCGTGGCTGTTCTGCACATGTGAAAAATCCACTCACAAAGAGCACCTGGATGGAGGAGCAACTTTGGCAGGCAGCCCTTATCATAGCTGAAATACGATGAGTGGTCTGATGTCAGAAAAGTTAGGCAGCTGTGCTTCAGCACTGCAAATGTGAGATTCAGGATTTGTGTGCAAATACGTAATGGTACGGAATCCGTCACTGTTACTATTCCAATGCGAAAATCCAGGCGGAATGTTTGGGTTCATGTTAAGTGCAAAATTCAGGCTTTCTTTGTCCAACTCTTTTTTGTGTAAGTGTGTAAGTTGACAATCACATGCTGTTTGCCCGTAGTGAAAAGCTGTGAATGAACAGATTATGGGTTACTTTGATCTGCCATGCAAGACACTTAATCAGTTTGGAGTTTGAAACCTATATTAGAGAAATTTTCTTTTGTTTGATAATTCAGAGCATCAGAAAACTAAGAACTTTTTGTAAAGACTTACATTAATTTTTAGAAAGAGAATTATACAAGATATAACTAGTGCTGTTTTTGGTTATCATTTTGTGATCTCTCTAAGAAGTTATACTTTTTTTTTTCCCTCTTTTGAAACTTTGTGAAAACAAAGCCAGATTCCACAAAACACCAAATCTCTAATCTTACTGATGAAATATTTCTTAATTCCTCATTTTTGTCCCTCTCCAATGATACTATGACCTTTAAAATGCCTATTAAATCTGCAAGTGCAGTGTCTCTATGGTCAATACTGACACCCTTTTGTCTGCCATCTTTCATATACAGCATAACTTCAGGAGGCTTTGATTCAAGCTTGTAGAATGTTTTAAATAAAATTTCTAAAAAGCTTTCTGGATACAGTCCTTTGTTGAGGAAATCTAGTGTGGATGCTACAACTGATACCAAAAGGCTCTATGAAAGCCTACAAAAGATTTGGTGGTTTTTTTGTTGATTTGTTGTGGTTGTGTGGTGCTGTTAATATGTTTCTCCAGAACAGAACTAGACAAATTAGCTTTGCAATTCCTTTTTTCAGTAAAATACATGTATTTTCATCTTTCTACAAAATAAATTATAAGAAGTTCCACCTAAACATGAGGAGGAACTTCTTTACTGTGAGAGTGGTGGAGCACTGGAACAGGCTGCCCAGAGAGGTGGTGGAGTCTCCTTCTCTGGAGACATTCAAAACCCGCCCGGACATGTTCCTGTGCAACCTGCTCTAGGTGGACTCACTCCAGTGGGGGGGTTGGACTTGATCTCCAGAGGTCCCTTCCAACCCCATATCATTCTATGATTCTATGATTCTATTCAGAGGCAAGCACAGTTGATCTAGATAAACATTTCTGTTACAGTATTTTATTACTGTAGCATATTCATGGAGGTAGCTTCAGAAATTTCTATTACATTTTCAATTTTAGCTAGATATTTTTTACAATTTAAGAACTATGCAGAAATAATGATAATATATTCTCTTTGTTGAGAATTTCCTTCTTCAATTTGAAACATGTGAGAGCCTAAGAGATCCGACTTGACTACCAGGGTTTTTTAAAGCTGTTTCTGAGCAGATAATCCCCCTAATTTAGTTGCTATCAATATTTACATTGATGCAAAACTGTTTGTAGTGTCTTGAATGAGGATGAAGCTAGAAAGGGCACAGTTTAATTAAATTAGTTTTATTCTCTAAGCAAGCATGCCCTGCATAAATGGGTCAACAGAAAAGCTAGAGGAGATGCATTGATTATGTTCAGGGCTTGGAGTAATGTGTAGCAGATGTGCCATATTTTGTTTTACGATGGTGTGCCTAGACCTATCTGCACTCGGAGAGGGAGGAGATGATTTTTATGCTGCCAGCGCTCTCTAATCCTGCCTTTTGAAGCACAGCAGGGAGTCTGAGTTTCAGGGTCCTGTACTAAAGAAAAGATTAATTTCAAAACAAGGTGGGATGTACACCGAAGTTATGTAACGAGGCATTAATTTCCCACGAACAATCAGGATAAAAACATAGTTTCATCACAGAAATCAGACTGTAGTCATTCTTTGGGCAATCGTGTCTGAAGGGCAGGGATTTTTACAGCATGTGTTTGGGGTTACTGTAGCTGCTAAGACGGGCAGGGATGTTTTGCCTGTGCAGTTGCCTGTCCCCTGTGAAGAAACCCTGTCAAGTCCCCAGGAGTGTTTGCACTGCTGTTCATATTTATAAACCTCAGAGATATTAAGTAAGAGGACTTGTACCTCGCTCCAGATATTGCTGGCTGTGGCCGACGTGGCTCCTACAGCCACAGGGGTAGCTGCACATAGTCTTTGTCATGGAGGCTTGGAGATGTCTGGGGAGCTCCATTCACTGTTTTTGCTGGGCAGGACAGCTTTCCAGGTTAAGCTGTGAAACCCACCCATCTCACTGTAGTGCTGCACGAAGCTGTTGGAAGTGTTCCTGCATGCACTGGTGGAGGTCTGCCAATGTCACGAACACCACTGCAGTCTTAAGCAGAAAGGGGCAATTCAGACACTTTGTGGAAATACCAGGCTAGTTTATCCAAGTGTGCTGGCCACCTGTGTTGCCCTTGGAGCTTCCAGTCCAGTGTGCTTTGTCTTTCATTAAAGTAATTTGTTAGTGGCTATGGATTATATTAAAGGACCCATGGCAACACAGTTATGGCCTCAACCTGTCTTCAACCTGGCCATTAGTATAAAGGACAACAAAAAAAAGTTTCTATAAATACGTCAACAAAAAGAGAGTCAGGGAGAATGTCCATCCCTTACTGGATGCGGGGGGAAACATTGCGACCAAAGAAGAGGAGAAGGCTGAGATACTTAATGCCTTCTTTGCCTCCATTTTTAATTGTCAGACCAGCTACCCCCAGGGTGTTCAGCCTCCTGGGCTGGAAGATAAGGATGGTGAGCAGAACAAATCCCCTGTAATCCAGGAGTTAATGATTTGCTTATGCACCTGGACACGTATAAGTGTATGGGGCCAGATGGGATTCACCCAAGGGTACTCAGGGAGCTGATGGGAGAGCTCACCAAGCCTCCCTCCATCATCTATTAACAATTCTGGTCAACAGGAGAGGTACCAGATGACTGGAGGGTGGCCAGTGTGACACCCATCTACAAGAAGAGCTGGAAGGAGGATCCGGGAAACTATAGGCCTGTCAGCCTGACCTCGGTACCGGGAAAGGTCATGGAGAGGATCATCTTGGGAGAGCTCTCAAGGCAAGTGCCGGGCAGGCAAGGGATCAGGGCCACCCAGCATGGGTTTATGAAAGGGAGGTCTGGCTTAACCAACTTGATCTCTTTCTATGACCATGTGACTCGCCTTCTCGATGCAGGGAAGGCTGTGGAACATTGTCTACATGGACTTTGGTAAGGCCTTTGACACCATCCCCCACAGTGTTCTTCTGGAGACACTGGCGAATCATGGCATAGACAAGTGTACTGTTCACTGGGTAAAAAACTGGCTGGATGGCCGTGCCCAGAGAGTTGTGATTAATGGGGTGAAATCCAGTTGGCGGCCGGTCACCAGTGGTGTCCTTCAGAGCTCAGTTTTGGGGCCAGTCTCCTTTAATATCTATTGATGATCTGAATAAGGGGATTGAGTGCACCCTCAGTAAGTTTGCAGATGACACCAAACTAGGTGGGAGTGTTGATCTGCTTGAGGGTCAGAAGGCTCTACAGAGGGATCTGGACAGACTGGATCAATGGGCCAAGGCCAATGGGATGAGGTTTAATAAGGCCAAGTGCTGGGTCCTGCATTTTGGTCACAACGACCCCAGGCAACACTACAGGCTTGAGGAAGAGTGGCTGGAAAGCTGCCTGGCAGAAAAGGACCTGGGGGTGTTGGTGGACAGCCAGCTGAACATGAGCCAGCATTGTGCCCAGGTGGCCAAGAAGGCCAACAGCATCCTGGCCTGTATCAGGAATAGCCTGGCCAGCAGGAGTAGGGCAGTGATGGTGCCTCTGTACTTGGCACTGGTGAGGCCTCACCTTGAGTACTGTGTTCATTTCTGGGCCCCTCACTACAGGAAGGACATGGAGCTGCTGGAGCGTGTCCAGAGGAGAGCCACCAAGCTGGTGAGGGGTCTGGAGAGCAAGTCATATGAGGAGAGGCTGAGGGAACTGGGCATGTTGAGTTTGGAGAAGAGGAGGCTGAGGGGAGACCTCATTGCGCTCTACAACTACCTGAAAGGAGGCTGTAGAGAGGTGGGGGTTGGCCTCTTCTTCCAAGGAAATAATAACAGGACCAGAGGAAATGGTCTAAAGTTGTGGCAGGGGAGATTTACATTAGATATTGGGAAGAATGACTTTCCTGAGAGGGTGGTCAGGCACTGGAACAGCCTGCCCAGGGAGGTGGTGGAGTCACCATCCCTGGAAGTATTTAAGAAACATGTAGACGTGGCTCTTCAGGGCATGCTCTAGTGCCCGAGATTATTGGTTTGTGGGTGGGTGTGATGTGGTGGGGTGTTGTGTTTTGTGGGTTTTGTTTGTTTGTTTGTTTGTTTGTTTGTTTTTAAGCTTGGACTCAATGATCTCAGAGGTCCCTTACAACCATGGTGATTCTGTGATTCTATGTGATGACATCAGATTATAGAATCTTGCCAAATAGTCTACCCAGACATGCATACTGTAAAGGAATATGGAATGATAGTGGTTCAGTTTAAATAAAATTAATCATTTAGTGCTGGGCCACGTTGGCATACTGCTTATGTAGCACTCACTCTGCGTTGAGTAGCTCAAGCTGCCGAAGGTTTGGGCCGCCAGCTGCAAACTGGCCTAGGTGGGGTGAACTTGTTTTGAACTTGAACTTTGGTTGAGGCACCATCCCTGGAGGTGTTCAAAAGACGGGTTGATGTAGTGCTGGGAGGTATGGTTTAGTGATGATGTTCCTTGTTTGTTGTGTGGGTGTCTATTTTTGTCAGTTAGGTTGATGGTTGGACAAGATGATCTTTAAGGTCCCTTCCAACCTAGAAGATTCTGTGATTCTACTTCGCGACATAGAAGAAGGGTCTGAGATGGGAACACAGTGGGAGATAAGGAAGCTGTGAGCTCCGCTGCCAGCGGGGGATGCAGCTCAGAGAACAAGAACAGTTATTATCCCTGCTGGGGACGGGGTCTGGACCGGAGCGAGAGCCCACCAGAACACAAATCACCCTTGGACCAGGCGGTGCGTGCCGAAGGGATGCATGGATTGGGAAGCGTACAACTGCCCAGGCGTTCCTGGGTTCTAAGCCCCACTCTGGAGGACGAGCCTTGGCTGTTGTGCCACTCCAATTAATTATTATTATTATTATTATTATTATTATTATTATTATTATTATTATTATTA